CCATGGACATTTCCTATCAATTTCTACTTTTCATGTCGCTGTGCAGAATCACAGGCCCTCGCTTTTGCCTTTTACCCCTTATTCGAGAGTCACTTCTAACCCAATATCCTCTCCGAAGCCTTCCTTGACCTCTATTCCTGCTTCTAACTTTGTTAAGAGCTCCATGCTTCAAAAACAAGGCATCACAGGGTGGAATACATGCCTATACGTAACCTAATTTAGATAAAATGGATAAACATAATTCATCTCAGGCACAGTTAATGAGGCAGCATGGCATAAGAGCACGGTTTCTGCAGTGAGACCTCAATTCCAGCGCCAGCTGTTACTGCTCCACGGAGCCACAGAGGCTGCGTCTGAAAGTGAGGATCGTTTTTACCAAGAGGCTGTGATTTCTTTGAATTTCACAGTCTCTATACAATAGTTACGTTTAATTACTGTTGTGTATAAATAAGAAACTCACATAAATGTCCACAATACATATTATTTTAAGTCAATTTGTAATTTTTATGTACTCACTTTGTAAGTTACCCAGTAAAGTGAGTTAAAAATATAACAGAGCAGCACCATTTTAACTTCAAACTAAAGGCAAGAATTAGTTGCTTGGCAATAATGAAGATTCACTATGATTTTATGGAAGATGCTCCGAATTGGAGGTCAGGGTCAGGGTCAGGGTCGGGGTCTATGCTGTGATGATAGGGTTAAGTAGATCAGGAGTTCCATACTTGGAAGCATGTCAGAATCACCTGGGGAGCTTGAAACCACAGATTTCCAGGACCTTACAAGATTCTGATTTAGTAATTCTGTAATCTATAACTTTTCAATTACAGTTGACATACAATATTTTATTAATTTCAGGTGTACAAGTGATTAGACATTTGTACACCATGTGAAGTGATCGCCACAATAAGTCTAGTATCCACCTGGTACCTTACACAGTCAGTACAGCGTTATTGACTATGTTCCCTCTACTTTACATCTTCATGAGTATTCTTGTATTGTTATAATTTTTATTTATAAATATCTGTGCCTTTTACATTTGACAACTACTTTGAACAGGAAACAAGTTTTGCAGTTTGAGAATGTTTTTGGATAAGTCACTTATGCCCAAGTGAGTGTAGTTGAGTTCATTTTCTCGCCTACAATGCGGGGGACTTAAATTGGATGATCTCCAAGATTACTTTCAGGACTAGAAATCTATGATAAAAGATGTTCTAAGCTATCTTTACATTTCTTCTCGTATAGCTGTGGGAAAACCTCTAGGTCCATTTGCTTTTGTGTCATTCGTATTTTTGTTGGAGGACCTGCCAGAAGATGTGTCACTGTGAGCCATCTCAGAAGGGACTTTTCTCTCTTGGGAGGGTGTGTTTTACAGTTTGGTGATTTATAATTTCAATCGCCACTCTGGAGCCTCGTTATCTGTCAGATAAGAGGCTGGTCATTTGATCTCCTTGCGTGAGTCCCTTGGTTACTTTGCCTCTCTTCTTCTGATAAGGTGGCTATTGATAGCCTTCAAGGCTTTAATTATTTAATTTTTGCTGATGAGCATAGAAGTTCCCCAAAAGGACAGCCTTTCCTGTCCTGACCCCTCCCAGCAGGCCTTTCTGTCTCCACTTAACACATCGCTACACTGCCCACCCGTTAGCTAAAGCAGGACAGAGCCTATAGCCAGGACCCCAACACTTCAAAAATGTTTGAGATCCCCCTCTTTACTCTGTCTCTTCCTAACCTGCAGTTACCGCCGCCCAATTTAGCAAAATATGTTAAAGGTGAGATAAAGAATAAAATTTGAATGTAAGTGTGCCCCATGCGATATTTGGAATATACGTCTACTAAAAAATTGACTTGTGGCGTGCTGGATGAGGGTGGGTTTTTGTGCTGCCGTTGCTAAGTCAGCGGTTTTGAATCTTGGCTGCACATCAGCCGCCTGTGGAGAGCGGCTAGGCTCTCAATCCCTGCCTGCCGCCCAGGCCAATTAGATCAGAACCCTGGCTGGCGACAGGCATCGGCGGCAGGCAGAGCTGCCCGGGTGATTCCCAGGTGCAGCCAGGCCTGGGAACCAGTTCCCTAAATTAAAATGTCAAACTCAAAGCACCATTTTTATGGCTAACTCAGGCCTTTATAGTTCAAATTCCTCTTCAAAATTTATTTCATATACTCTTGAGTAAGCATTTTATATTAACCTTTACTATATTATGTTCTAGCATATCATATATTACAAAGATCACTTTTTTAAAAGGATCTCGTGTGGCTTTAATCATGTCACTGGTTTATTATTGTTTCTAAAATTATATAAATGGCTCTTGTGTTCAAATGTATCTTCATGATTTGCTTTGTCTTTTTCATATGTCATTTTCTGTCTCTTAAAGATCATAAACCAGTGGTTCCTAACTCTGTTCATTAGCATCATCTTACGATGTTTTTTTTACTTTTTATTTTTATTGATTTCGGAGAGGGAGAAAGAGATAGAAACATCAATGATGAGAGAGAATCATTGATCAGCTGCCTCCTGCATGTACCCTCCCAAGGATCAAGCTGGCAATGCAGTTATGCACCCTTAGCCAGAATCGAACCCCGGGCACCTTCAGTCTACAGGCTGACTCTCTATCCACTGGGTCAAACCGGCCAGGAGCCCTAGGATGCTTTTTTAAAAGTTCTCTGATATCCGCTGCTAGCGCTCTGCCTTAATTGATGTAGTGCCCAGACATTGTTGTTTTCTAAAAGATTCTGGCTTCAGGCAGAATTGAAAGCCAGTATTTTTGTATATGTCAAATACCCACCTTGCTGATCATCTGAATTTCCCAGGGAAGTTTCAATCTAGCTGAAACCAGTTTGGCTCAGTGGATAGAGTGTCGGCTTGCTGACTGAAGGGTCCCAGGTTTGATTCCGGTCAAGGACACGTACCTTGGTTGCGGGCACATCCCCAGTGGGGGGTGTGCAAGAGGCAGCTGGTCGATGTTTCTCTCTCATTGATGTTTCTAACTCTCTATCCCTCTCAATTCCTTTCTGTGTAAAAATCAATAAAATATAAACGAAACAAAAAACATACATCTAATTGCTCTGCTTAATGAAGTGAAAATCTTAAGGAAAAGTCCCCACACGGATACAGTGATACAGCGATGCATGCCCACACCCACATGGAGTGAATGTCCACTATCTAGGCCCCACCCATGGGAATCCTAATTCAGAAGAGTCAGTGTGAGAACTTGACAGCAGTACTTCATTTTTTTTTTTTTTAAGAAGGAACGCTGACTTTTGCAATATATTTTTATTGATTTCAGAGAAGAACAGAGATGGAGAGAAAGATAGAATCATCAATACTAAGAATCATTCATCAGCTGCCTCCTGCCAGTTCCCTAATGGGGATCAAGCCCAAAACCTGGGTATGTGCCCTGACTGGGGATTGAACCGAGACCTCCTGGTTCGTAGGTTGACCCTCAACCACTGAGTCACACCAGTTGGGCTTGGCAACAGTACTTTGAACCTTTCCCCAGACGATTGAAGTGAGTGGCCACATTTGGTCACCACTGCATTGTAGATGATACAATATCCTTAGACCATGGTCATCATTACTTGTCCCTTTGACAACAGTAAATATGTGTTAAGAGCAAAATCATTGGTAAAGCTGACTTTTTTGCAACAGGAGGGGGTGGGGAACAGTCTGATTCTTGTCAGCTCTATCTGGACTTTTTCTCTTGGAGTGGCTATATGAAGGAAGAAATAACCTTTCTAAAAATAGGCCAGAAGAAGACCAAGGAGGAAGTGTCCAAAAGGAACAATACAGTAAAAGTGTTTAAAATAGACTTAACTTTATGCACTGAGCTATAACAGAGAGGGAGCCTGGCATACATTATCAACAATCATGAGGCCCCAATCCAAAGATTTTATTCATTCAACTGTTCCTGAGTGCCTGAGCTAGATCCCGTGAATTCAGAGTATGGTATTGCCTGGAGGGATTTACAGTCTAGAAGAGGAGACCAATAATTATAATACAGTGGGGGGAAAATGGAAAATTATGCAAAGTAGCAACTATAGACATATCTATGGGGGATTAGAGGTGAGGGGAGACTTCAGAGAAACAGAGCATAAAACCACGCTTTTGAAAGCTACAATGATTGTGTGGAGAGGAATTGAAGGAGAGTGAAGGGAAAGAAATGGCATTTCTTAAAGTGAATGGGACTCTAAGCTTGGTATTTTCCTGAATTAAATATTTCTACAACACTGTCATGTAAGGTTTTGGAGGAGTTGGGAGCAGATAGAAGGCAGAGTGGTAGCATTGCCATGCTTCAAACTCTGCTCATACCTCAGCCCAGTTATTCTTGGATATTGTGATATTCCTGTAGTGGCCATAAAAAGTTAGCCCAGCCAAGCCAGCGTGGTTCGTGGTTGAGCATCGGCCTATATGAACCAGGAGGTCATGATTTGATTTTGGGTCAGCACATATACTTAGGTTCTGAGCTTGATCCCCAGTGTGGGACATGCAGGAAGCAGCCAATCAATGATTCTCTCTCATCATTGATGTTTCTATCACCCTCTCCCTCTCCCTTCCTCTCTGAAATCAATAAAAATACATTTTTTTAAAAAAGCTAGCCCAAAACAAAAACATACAATCTTTATTTGTCAGATTCTTCTGCAAAAATCCTTTCTCCAGACTAATTTTCATATCATCCTTATTGGTACTTGGTTGCATTTGCTGCTAGAATTCTTCTTTATTTTTAGACTCTAAATTTTTCAATCACTTTGGACCTAAGCATATTTTTTTTCATGATGTCCTATGGTTGGTCAATAAGCAACTTATTGAACTGGGGGTTGATTTTTATTTATTTCATTTCATTTATTAGTGCCTACTAGGTACAGATCACTATGTTAGGTAGTCTGGGGTGTCCAAAGATGAAGTCTTCAGAAGAACTTAAAATACCACAAGGAAGAGATGCTTAAAAACAGTCATCAATTGGATTTTGGCATCTGAAATAGTGTTTGTTTGTTTTTCTCCCTAGTGACACTCAGGAAATGCTTATCTCCTGCTGTTGATGAATAATTTCAGAGTACTATGGATCATGCTGAAGAAACTGAAATCCCTGCAGCACCCGAGAAGTACTATGTGGACAGGCCTATCTTTAGTCATCTGGCCCTCCAGGAAATACTGCACACGAAGGAGAAGATTCCGGATTCCATTGGGGATAAGCTAAAACAGGCATTCACGTATGTTGTGTTTTAACCTGTTTCCTTTATTCTGTCATTCAGTTGTGAGAGACACAAGGTCAAGTGTATAAGGAAAATCTGGCAAAATGGAGGGGGGGAAATGGTGAGCACTCATGATTTGCTGAACTGTCCACAGGGTTCTCCATGATTGAGCACGCGCTTCATTATGTATTTCACCATACTTACTAAATTCCTACTGTGCCTTGGGGATTGTGTGTAAAGGTACCTGTAAATAACCCACTTCCAGTTCTCTACCACATTCAGAATATCCACCTTTTCCCTTTGTCTCTCAGAATGCTCCAGCCATTCTCTTTTTTTCTGCCCTTGACTTCTACCCCATTTGGCAAAACCCTGAATTTAAATCCCCAGCCTATGCTGGCAAGGACCCTCACTGTCCTGTGACTCTTAATTTTGGAGACACATGCATAGCCATGTTGCAGGCGTGAGAATGTCAATACATGTGTGCATATTGATAGCTCCCAAACTTCAAAACCAACCCATTTGATTACTGCCTCCAGAACCCTTGATACTACACCTTCGGTGTTCTATGTTCATTTAAGCTTCACCTTTTGGGAAAGGTGAAAAATGTATGCACTGGAGTCAGACTCTCTGAGCCATAATCCTAGTCCCAACCACCGACCAGCTGGGTGCTTGAGTTTCCTGGTCTGTAAAATGGGTAGAATAATAGTGCTTACGTCATAGTTACTAGCGGATTAGGCATATGGCAAGTGTTATATATAAGTGTAGCTATTATTAATACCTCAATTTTCTAAACAAGGTATCAAATCTAGTTTGTTTTACTCAAATTTATTGCTCTTACCACAGTTGCATCACATTTTGCTTCTACTGTTTTCCTTCATCAAATTGCCAAATACTCTTAACCACTAAAGATACTTTATAAAAACAGCATGCATGCTGCAATACTATGTTGTATTTTGAATGGAACAAATTATTTCCTTGTCACAGGGAACACTTAAAATTTTCGCAGTGGACATAGAACTCATCTGTCCATACCGTTACTCGGTGATGTCTTTGATCATTGGCGTAGCCTGGCAAAATTGGCCAACACCCAAAGGGATTAAATGCAAGGCCTTGGTTTTATCAGCTTGTTCTTCCAGTTAACCAAGACAACCAGGCATAATAGACTCGGCTATTACACCCCAGTGACAAATGGTATTTTGAGTTTACCGAATCAAAGACCCTAAGCAAGGGACATATGTTAATAAAACTCAAAACACCTGTATAAATTTTCTTGATTTTATAAGGAAAGGGGAAAACTAATGGGCAGATGCTGGTCAGTGGATCTACATTCTTCAAAAGTTAACTCAATCAGTAAATTACTCCTCTACTTCACTTTTATGCCAACACGGAAAGAATAATAAGGATTGTATCTATTATCTGAGTTATCTCAATGATTCTGGAGCTAAATTTGTGGAGACGATTTAGATGTTCCCAACAACAGCAAATGGGAATATCTCTGCTGAGGGAAAGGTTATCCTCAGCACCAACGTGAATGTTTTCTTACCATTCCAGGATAAAAGGAGGAGGAAATGCCTTGGTTCAAATTCTACAGAAATGTTCCTCATTTTTTTCTCTGTCTTTTTTTTTTTTTTTTTTTTTTTTTTTTTTTTTTTGTCCTCCCAGATGTACTCCTAAGAAAATAAGAAACATCATTTATATGTTCTTACCCATAACTAAGTGGTTGCCAGCATACAAATTCAAGGAGTATGTGTTGGGTGACTTGGTCTCAGGCATCAGCACAGGGGTGCTTCAGCTCCCTCAAGGTCAGTAGAATATATTTATTTATTTTTGTTTGTTTCTCTTACTACCATATCCTCAAACAGTTGCTTGACCTTTCTGCTCAGTTTCATCATGAGTGCAAATTCATAGTTTTTATCATATCATTCTAGTAGCCTTTACCTGTCTAAAAGAATTCTCTAGAAATAAAAAAAAAAGTAACCCTTAAAAAGCCCCAGAGCTAGGAGTAGTAGAATATAGTGACATTGTTTTGTAGATCAGTATAGTTAGGAATTGGCTGGGTAAATCAGTCACTCTGTGACATGCTCTTGGGGTTGTCATCATTAAGGTTTTTGACGGTAAGTTCATATTCTAATTGCATGAGATCATGAAATGTTAAATCCTCTGCATCTGTGTGTTTTTTATATGTGATATTAAGAATCTAAGAACATCTCATTAATGGTGGGGGGGAAAAAAGGAACATTTGTAATAATATGAACAATAAAAACTTATTAAAAAAAAAAAAAAAAGAACATCTCATTAATTTGTTCATCTGTTCACACTTGTTTATCAAGATCTGCTTGTCCCTCCCTTCCTTCATGGAACTAACTCCATAATCAAGTACAGAGACCTGAATCAAGTAAAAGCACATATACATTTTTATGTATAAACTAGAGGCCTGGTGCACGAAATCTGTGCATGGCTAGGGTCCCTAGGCCTGGCAGGGGATCAGGGTTGGCCGGGGCCTCCCTTCCCCAGCTGCTGGCTGGAGCCTTCCTTCATTCTGTGCCACCCCCTGGTGGCACAGCAAGTGATAGAACGCCCAGTCTCCTAGTTGAACTCCCATGGGGATACTTTCCATATTAGTCTTTTATATATAGAGATGATGTTAAACACTATGAAGGAAAAAACAGGATACTATGAGATAATCACAGAGACACCTAGTTTAAGAAGGCAAATCACAAAAACCTCGTTAAGGAAACAAGACGTGAGTTGAGACCTAAAGGATGAATAGGAAGCAGGTAAAGAATGAGAGATATCCAGCCGGTGTTGCTCAATGGTTGAGCATCAACCTATAACCCAGGAGGTCAAGGTTCAATTTCCAGCCAGGGCACCTGCGGGGTTGTGGGTTCAATCCCCACCAGGGTGCATGCAGGAGGCAGCTGATCAGTGATTCTCTCTCATCAGTGATGTTTCTATCCCTGTACCCCTCTCCCTTCCTCTCTTTGAAAACAATAAAAAGGATGAAGGAAGGAACAACATGTGTGAAGGCGCTTGGCAGAAAAAGAATTGGGTATTTGAAGACGTGATTTACAGAATTAACAGAAAGGCAGTGTTCTGGGAGTGAGGTGGGCAGGGGCAGGTCAGCCTGGCCTTGTTAGCCACTTTTGGATTCATTCTGAGTGCTTTTCACTTGGATTGCCTTTGGAAGAGGTCAGCGAGACAGCTGTTTAGGGAACAGATTTGGTTGGTGGGAGGGGCACCAGAATGAATGTGGGGAATCGATTAGAGGTGGCTATGGCTCCTGGAAAAGAAGAGATGACTGGGGAGATCCCAGCCTGGACTCTGAGCACAAGGCAGGATCATGTGTATGTTCGGGGTAGAGGAGTGGACCGGTGAGGACACTTCTGCTTAAGTTAACATGGTTGTCACGTGTTCATCAGCGATAAAGAACCAAGAGGAAAATACATGTAAACCTCTTTTCTAATGACCTCCCTCTGTCTGTCTGGTGTTTAATCCCACAGGATTAGCCTTTGCGATGTTGGCAGCTGTGCCTCCGGTGTTCGGCCTGTACTCTTCGTTTTACCCTGTTATCATGTATTGTTTTTTTGGAACCTCCAGACACATATCCATAGGTAAAAGCTTATACTTGATACGCTAGTGCCTTTTTGTTCGGATTATTCAGCTTTGCAATGTGCCAAAGACATAGCATGTTTGTTATTAGAACATCTGCTTAATAACAAGTTGTTACTGCATACCCAGCAGGTACTTTAAAATACATCCCCCCACCCCCAGATTTGTAGAGCTAATAGCTTTCTTATCATCTTGGTATAATGGGGGGGGGGGGGACAATTTTCTTGTGTACAAAGAGCAGTAGTTAAAATCTGTGAAATAAGTGTTTTAATTCATAATACAATTTCCTTGCACCTGGTTTTTCTTTTTATTAGTGGTACTGCAAGTTCCTAATTACCACACATGTATTGCATTTTCATCTGACTTAAGGCTCCGGGTTCCCTGTAGTTAGTGAATTTAGGATCAGCTTTATAGGGATTTCATAATAGCCTTGGTGCTGCATGAGGTAGCCCCCAGCAAACACAGGCACAATGTTTCAGAGGCCCATTCCTAGGTAACACATAGGAATCATTTCATTGTGTCGCACAGTTTCTGTGGGTCGGGATTTGGGAAAGGCTCATCTGGGCAGGGCTGGCTCAGGTCTCATGCAGCTGAGAGTCAGAAGCGAGCTGGGGCTAGAGCAACTACAGGAAGCCTGAACCTCTTTCTCTTGTTCCCTCTTGCCCTCTGCTCCCTCTCTCTCCCAACTCCCCTCTCCTCTCCTTTCTCTCCACGTCGTCCTAATGGGAGTTTTCTCACGCTCAGGGCTGCAGCACGAGCAAGTGTAACAGCTCTCAGGTGGAAGCTGCATCACCTTTTGTTACCAAGCCTCAGAAGACAACAGTATCACTTCTGCCGCATTTTTTTTTTAAAATGTACCTTTATCGTTGAAAGAATTACAAATGTCCCCCTTTTTTCCCATTGACCCTTCCATCTCGCACCTGTCCCTCCCAGGTTTTCATCGCACTATTCTGTGTCCATGGGCTATGCATATCTGCATATATATCCCCCAGTTAATCTCTCTGCACCCCCTCTGAGATTCGCCTGTCTGTCCCATGCTTCTATGTCTCTGGATCTGTTTTGTTCATCAGTTTATTTTGTTCATTAGAGTGAGATTTGTTCACCTATGGGTGAGATCATGTGATTCTCATCTTTCTCTGACTGGCTTGTTTCGCTTAGCATAAATGCTCTCCAGGTCCCTCCAGGCTGTCTCATAGGGTAAGAGCATTCTTTTGGTTACTAATATGTCACAAGCCCTCCCTGATTCAAGGAGAGGGGGATTAAAAATTAGTCTATCTCTTCATAGGGAAATGTCAGAGTTCTAGAAGAGTCTGGGGGGTGGAAGATGTCATCATGGTCATTTTTGGAGAATACGATCTGCACACACACAGTTTACATATAAACCAGGAGCAGCGGTTTAATGCTTACGGAGAACAGTGCGATTTTATTTCAGTGATGACTTATTGACCTCACCCGTGTTCTCTAGAGTACTGGCAACAATCACATCAGATACACTGAAGCCGATTTCCTTGATTAACGCGTCACTGTTTCAGGTCCGTTTGCTGTAATTAGCCTGATGATTGGCGGTGTGGCTGTTCGATTGGTCCCAGATGATATAGTCATCCCGGGAGGAGTAAACGCAACCAACGGTACGGAAGCCAGAGACGCCTTGAGAGTGAAAGTCGCCATGTCAGTGACCTTACTCACAGGAATCATTCAGGTAAGACTCAGAGGCGGGGAATGGGCTCTCGTTTGTTTATTTCACAAATACCTGTTGAGGGCTCTTGGCTGGTCTACTGGGTGGGTAGGATCAGCCTGCAAGATCCCAGAGCTCAGAGCTCCCAGCGCTCAGGAGCACCAGGCCTATCATATGCCCTCCTGAAGTTGACCTTTTTTAGGAACTAGCAAGCCTCAGCTGGGTACTTTAGAGATTCCAAAAGCAAGGAAAGCTTGAGGCAGAATTGGTTAGTGATGGGAAGACGCTTCTCAGAAGGAACAGGAAATGACATTGACTCACCGTGTCCCGAGTTCTGAGTGTCCATGATGCTCGTTGGGACTCCAAGCCATTCCAAACCTTCAGTGTTTTTTTGTTTTGTTTTGTTTTTTGTTTTGTTTTGTATAATCAGTGATTGATTTGTTCGCTGCTTAACTGTGGCAGGTGCAAATGTGTAATGTTAAAAAGTGATCCAGGAAGAAATTCGTGTGTGTTCTGTTGGTTTTCATTTCCTGATCTATCATGTGATTTATTTGTTTCTTTGTCATTAAAAAAAAAAACACAACAGTTCTGCCTAGGCGTCTGTAGGTTTGGATTTGTGGCCATCTACCTCACAGAGCCCCTGGTGCGAGGCTTTACCACAGCAGCGGCTGTGCACGTCTTCACCTCCATGTTAAAATACCTGTTCGGAGTCAAAACAAAGCGGTACAGCGGGATCTTTTCAGTGGTGTATGTAAGTAAGCAACTTACTGGTCCTAGTTTTCCCTTCCTCCTTTTCCCTCCTCCTCTTCTATATCTCTTTTACCTTCGAGGCTCACTTTTCTTTTTTCCAAGAATTTTAATACAATGGGGAAAACTTAGTTATGCTAAAGCTTTTCTGAAAAAAGGCACTACAAAGATGAATTAAACCTTACACTCTCATTGTATTAATGTACGATACTGCCTGCCTTACAAGGAATTATTTGTTATGTCTTTACTTGGTGGCTACACCTTCACCCTCATTAGCTGGAAAGACAGCTTTTTCTTGAGACAGAATTGTATTCTCTTTGGGAACTAACAAATAATTTAAAAGCTTTATGGGAGAACCTAACTCTCAAAAACTGCTTACCCAAGCAGGCAAAAAATAAGTCTATAAATGATTTGGCTAACACAGTGGTCAGCAAACTCATTAGTCAACAGAGCCAAATATCAACAGTACAATGACTGAAATTTCTTTTGAGAGCCAAATTTTTAAACTTAAACTTCTTCTAATGCCACTTCTTCAAAATAGACTCGCGCAGGTCGTGGTATTTTGTAGAAGAGCCACACTGAAGGGCCAAAGAGCTGCATGTGTGTGTGTGGGTGGGGAGGGGGTGGGCAATGGTAAAATATGTACACAGATAATAATTTAATAAAATTAAATTAAATTAAAAAATTTTAAAAAAATTTGCCGACCACTGGGCTAACACAATTAACCAGTTTAATAAGAAATATATAGACCTTTGCACCCAACTCAGAGAAAATATAAATTCATTACAAGCACATAGGGAACAATGGTAATAACCAATTGTGTTGAAACTTACATGTGAAACTGATCACAAATTCTATAAATTTAGTATATTTTCACACAGTATATTATAGTATAATTAGTAATCAATAAATAAATATAGCTTTAAAACTCCCATACATTTAGAAACAAAAACAAAAAACACCTACTTCTGAGTAACCCATGGATAAAAGAAATGTTTACATAATTAGAACCACATGACAGTTAAAGTGCTGTGGGAACTTATGAGATGATGCTAAAGGTATTCTTGGGCCAAATCACCTCGGTAGGTATTTATGTGCCAGACACTGTGCTAGGCCCAGCAGTGAGTGAGCAGACATGGCCGATGCTCTCTTGGAACTTGGTCCAATGGGAAGACCAATAGTTAGCCCTTCATGGCATAAATGTGTAATTGATTACAATATTGTTCGAAGCTGTGAAGAGAAGGCACTGGATATTAGGAAAGCTGGAGAGGGAGGCCTTTAGATTAGGTGTCTAGGAAAGTTACTTTGGGGGGTGCCATTTAAATTGAGTCCTGGATGGATTCAAATGGAATCAAACTGTAGGAACATTCCTTAAATAACTAAATTCTTCATTTCCCATCATAGCTGGTAGCATACTTCTTACACTGAGATTTTTCTAAATGCCTCGTCACCCAGGAGACAGAACAGGCGGGGACCTGAGTAGCTGTAGGCATTGCTAGGAAATGTGTGAATTGACTGTATTTGGGATACAAGCCTAGGATAAAATTAAAGGGCTTCTTTAACTCCCCTGGGCGTCTTTTCAAACTTCAGCACCCTCTTGCCTTCAAAGCCCACCTGATTCCTCTTTCATCTGCTAACCATGATTTCTCTTTCAGCTCTTAGAAGTTTTTCTGTGTCTTTATCTTTGTATTATTTTTTTGGTATCAGCCCCTAATCCTTTCTCAATGCTCAGGACTCAGAGCAAGGGTTACTCTTCTGAATTTTATAACTACTCCATTGACACATGAGCATGTCAAAGAACACTGTAAGATTGTTGGGTAAGAACTCAGCTTTAAAGTTGTCTGATGAGGAACAAAAGGCTCCAAATTTGGGGGAGCTGCAAAAGAGAGCGATTTGAGCCTGAGAGCTCTTGACAAGAAGGACCGGGGCTGGGCTGCTGTGGGAATTAGTGCACTGTGTCCGTCTGTCCAGCTGCCTGAGGTAAAGCCCAGTGTTCATTGTGTTGCAGAGTACGGTTGCTGTGTTGCAGAATGTTAAAAACCTCAACGTGTGTTCCCTAGGCGTCGGGCTGATGGTTTTTGGTTTGCTGTTGGGTGGCAAGGAGTTTAATGAGAGATTTAAAGAGAAACTGCCGGCACCCATTCCTTTAGAGTTCTTTGCGGTAAGTCAACTTTCAGCTATTTCTGAGGGGGGTGCGGGAGGGAGCGGGAGGGGACAGGGCGTTAGACCTTTCCCCTCTCAGTTCTGCCAAGAGAAGGGTAGGATTGGAAAGGGGAACTTTTACAAATACACTGACAAGAAAGAAAAATCACTAGAGCACTGAACGGATGATTTTTAAAATATAGCTGAAGACTCTGTAAATATTTTAATAGGAATTACCTGGGAGTAATGAGATCAAGGAAGATTTTTCTGCCTCAATGTTTTATTGTCTAATTCTTTTGTAATGAACACATAACTGTAATAACCTGAAAAAAATTAAGCTGTTTTAATTTGGAAAAGAGCAAAAAAACAAAAAAGTTCCCAAACTTTCTTGGTTCCTGGCACTCCTGGGTCAAAGGAAATACCTAACAGTTTCACTGAGTAAGTAGTTAGGTCTGAGCAGTGTATTTATGTCTAACAACCTAGGAACTGTTTGTAAAAATAATGCACCTAAATTGAAATAAACTATATATTTATCACGCTGTTAAATAACCGCAATTACTTGCTAATGGGAATAGGTCCACTACACAAATCCTCAGATGGGCCCCACTACCCTCCATTTCCCCTTCACTTTGCTTTTACATGGTACCTGCTTTCTACCCCAGCCACCACTGAATGCCCAGCTTTGCAAAGACAGAGTGTGAGCAACAGGAGTGTGGTAGGAGCTGATGTGGAAACTGAACTGCCTCAAACTAGATGTGTGCATAGTCTCTGACACACGTCACTGTTCCCCTTGAAAGTTCTATCCCACGGTGTCCTGGTGAGTTCCCCTTGGTACCCTGGGGCACCTCGGTGCATAATTCGAGAACCATTAAGGACAAAAAATAAAAAGTATAGGTGACTGACCCAAATCTAGCCAAAAGTTTGAGCCACAAAAACAGCAGGTCAGCATTACAGCTCAGGAGGAAACCAGCCCCTCTGGTTCTTCTCTGTGCTTTGGTCATGTCTACATCCCAGCAGGACCATCTAACAGTTTCGAAGCCCATTCTCTCGTTGGGGCGGGGCACAGAGATCCCGCTTTGTCATGGAGGACAGCATGAGGTTCTTGTTCCTCCTCATGGCAAGGAGACAGGCAGACGAGGCCTAATTGTGCAGCAAATAGTGAAGGTTGCTTTCCCGGCCTGGGTTCCTGGATCTGTCCATTTTCCAGGTTTCTTTTAGTGGAGTCCTTCATGTTTCCCAGGGCAATAGTTCTCCAGAATTTTATCATTGTGATTATAGGAATCCAGTGTTCTTTACATTTCTTATCGACGTTCTCCTCAGAGCAAGGGAGAGAGAAGCCATACTGGAAAATTTGAGTCTTTATGACTCCCTTTAAACATAAAATTTCTTTTTTTTTTTTTACCATAAAAACACTTTTGAGTTTTGTATTCTATTTCATAATATATATGTTTGTGTGGGTCGAAAAGCAGGGTTTAAATCATTTTCCACTATATAAAGTTGAGGCAATGGAAACGTAAGCCACATTTATCCTGTGAATTTGAATATTCTGGGCAAATACCACCCCCTACCCCCACCCCCACCCCCACCCCCGCCAGTTTGAGAGGCACAACTAATACAACTCAGGATGACAGACGTAATTGTGATCAACAAAAAGGGGCAATTTGTCCTGGCCAGTGTGGCTCAGTAGTTGAGCATTAACCTATGAACCAGGAGGTCACAGTTCATTTCCCAGTCAGGGCACATGCCTGCGTTGCAGACTCGATCCCCTGTGGGGGGTATGCAGGAGGCAGCCGATCAGTGATTCTTGTCACTGATCTTTCACTCCCTGTCCCTTCCTCTCTAAAATCAATTAAAATATATATATTTTTAAAGAACAGGGAGCATTTCATCAAAGGGGCAAGAAGCACTCATGCACTTGGTCTCTCAGGCTGCTGTGTCAGATAAGCTCACCTCATTATGAGTTCCCTGCAGCTGCCACCACCGTGAGGGATGGCTCCCTTCCCTGGACAGCCTTCATTTCTTCTCGGCAGCCCACTCAAAGTTCTGTAGCTCTAACTCTTCAGGATGAAGAAAATTGCCTCCTTCCTTGTTTTTTTTTCTTCTTGTAGTTCACTAAGAGTTGTACTTTCCACACCAACCGAATCTATGCCCTGGCAATCAGGAAGCTTACGTATGATGAAACGTGTGTGGTGGGCACTTGCACTCTGACCCTGACTGCACTGGGAGGAGGCAGCTCCAGGGTGCTCCCCACACGCGGTGCTGGTAACAGGGTCAGCAGGACGATTGCAGATCCAAACATTTTTTTGGTTTATTTTTATTTTAATTTTTTTAATTTATCTTTTATGTTGAAAGGATTACAGATGTCCCCTCCTTTCCCCCATAGACCTACTCCACTCCCCACTCTCCCTCAACCCCTCACCCTCCTTCTACCTCAGGCCTTCACCTGTACTACTGTCTGTGTCCAGGGGTTATGCATAGATGCATATAAATTTTCTTTTAATTAATTTAAAAATCAATCTCCCCCCCCCCATTTCCCTCTGAGATTCCTCAGTCTGTTACATGTTTCCATGTCTCGATCTCTTTTATTCATCAGTTTAGTTTGCTCATTAGCTTCCACATATAAGTGAGATCGCGTGATACTTGTTTTCTCTGACTGGCTTATTTTGCTTAGCATAAGATTCTCCAGGTCCGTCCATGCTGTTGCAAAGGGTAAGAGATAGTTGTGTGTGTGTGTTTTTTACTGCAGTGTAATATTCCATGGTATAACTGTACCACGGCTTTTTTTATCCACTCATCTGCATTTTATAATGTCATCATATCTCCCCCCCCCCCTTCCTTCACAATACACCCCTCAGTGACCTTTATTCATGCCAGGTGATCAGAGACACATTTCACCTAGCCCACAGGCACAGCCAACTCCTCAAAGAATTCATGGCCTTTTCTGGAAGAGACCAAAATAAAAAGGAAAGCATTCCAGGAGTTAAAATTAAAACTAGAGTCCATTTTAATTTTTTCGGGGAGAGTCGTCAGGAGACTTGAGAATTGCTAGAAGCTAACTATCGTTCTTTTTAAAACTGGAAGTTCAAGTGAGAACAGATTTGGGTTGGCTAACATTGTTTGAAGAGCTCATTTGTGTGGCACTTGCATTCTCACCTGTAAAGGACGTCTGGGTTTGTGTCTGTTTTAGGTGGTCATGGGAACTGGCATTTCGGCGGGGTTTAGCTTGCACGAGTCCTACAATGTGGATGTCGTTGGGACACTTCCTCTGGGGTAGGAAAATAACTTGAAGTAACCGTGTGACTTGAATAATCAGTGGATCTCTTATGGTTTCTAACTCCTGCTTTGGTGTTCTTGCAGTGAGAAACCCCCTTCATTCCTACCTTTCAAATCGCTGAGGGCTTGGGGGTGGGGTTTGGGGTTTTTTTTGTTGCTTTGACTTTTGGTTTTTAGCATGTGCATGGATTGTTGTTTATTGGGGGAGGGGGAATAACATAAAATTTACAATTTTAATCATTTTAAATGTAGAGCTCAGCAGTGTTAATTATACTCGTGGTATGAAACTGATGTCCAGAGCCTTTTCATCCTGTAAATCTGAACCCCACGCCCATTAAACAAGAACTCTCCCTCTCCCTCCCTCAGCCCCTGGCAACCGCCATTCTGCTTCCTGCCTCCCTGAATGTGGCTGCCCTAGGTACCTCAGATAAGTAGAGTCATACAGTGCTTGTCTTCTTGTGACCGGCTCATTTCATTCAGCATCATGTACTCAAAGTTCATCCGTGTGGCAGCACATGCCAGGATTTCCTTCCTTTCTAAAGCTGAATAAAGGGGTACACACCAGTAGCCCATTCATGCGTCAGTGGGTAGCAGTGGGAATAGTGCTGCTATGAACACAGTGTGTAAGTATCTCCTCGGGACTCTGCTTTCCGTTCTTCTGGGTGTAACTCTGTAAGGAGCCTCCATGCTGGTTTCCATACTGCCCTGCACCATGGGACTGTCCCACCTGCGTGGCATGTGGCGCTTGTTTGGTTTCCCATTGTTTAGCACTTACCAGTTTTTTAAAATTCTCCTTGGGAGACATAGAAATTAAGAGCAAAAAGACCTAAGTCCCACCTGCCCCTTTCTATCTGTGTGACCTGGGACAAGTCACTGTCCTCTCAAAGCCTCCGTTTCCTCTCCTGCCTGGCAGGCATGGTACCTGAGACCTAGCCAAGGCCCATTGAGAGAGCCCAGGAGATATTAGTGTAGCAAATACTATGCTTTAAGTGTTCCAGGACACAGTAACCAAAAGTTCTGTGGCTCATTCTTTCAACAACTTTGCTAGTTTCAAATCATGTATTACTTCTTTGCTTCATTTTTTTTTTCTTTTATCTTAACTCTTAAAAACGTTTTATTATTCCCTTTATTTGAAGAAGCAAGAGTGACTATGAGCCTCTCCTGGTCTAGCTCTGTTCCTCTCTGACACTCTCTAGTGGTCTCTATCTCTGTGTCTCTCTCTTATACTATCTTACTTACCACCCTCTACTCACTCCAAAAAACAGTCAGACATTTGCCCCGATGTTGGAGGTTGACAGAATCAGGCATGTCCCATCAGACTTTGCCTGTAGCCCCATCTACGAGGCTTGTGGGAATCACAGGGAGCTCTTTAAGACCAAGTTCACTCGACAGAGCAAGTGTTGAAGGAGGAAGCATGAACTCAAATCTAACACAGTAATAATGCTTGATCTTCTATTTGGATTTGTAATTTATAAAATACTTTAATCCTGCCCGGCCAAGGTGGCTCAGTGTTTGAGCGTCGACTTATGAATCAGGAGGTCAAGGTTCAATTCTCGGTCAGGGAACGTGCCTGGGTTGCGGCCTTGATCCCATGTGGGGCATGCAGAAGGCAGCCAATCAATGATTGTGTCTCATCGTTGATTTTTCTCCCTATCTCCCTCCCTCTCTGAAGTCAATAAAAATATTTTTAAAATACTTTAACACCCACCATCTCAGTTGCTGCTCACAATAACACTTGGTAAGGTACATTATTCCCATTTCACAGATAAGCAAGTTCATTTAGTCAGCATGTATTTGTTGAGTGCCTGTTATATGCCAGGGGCACAGCAGTTAAAGCAAACATGTGAGCATAAATGTCTTTGTTTTCATGGAGCTCATGTTCTCCTGGGGGAGACGGGCGATAACCACGTAGTGAGAAGTGCTATGAAGACGGGGGAAGCCAGGAGAGGGGTAGGCGGGGCTGGGGTTGCTGTGTTGGGTAGAGTATCCGAGAAGGTGACATTTGAGAGGCATGAATGAGGTTTGGTGACTCCTGGTGAGTCCCAGCCTGGACCCAGCCCTCAGTCTTCCGATACCCAGTTGTGTGCACTTTCCATTACCTCACACCTGAGTCACTAACATAATTAGTCAAGTGATCAACATTCGTCTTTGACTGGATCCAAGAGATACCCTTACTGAATAACTAATCACAAATAACTGGAATCAATGTGAATTCTCACTTTAGACTTCTTTAAAAAATTCACATGCCACCCATATACTTTCCTGATCACATCGTACCCACATCTGCTTTCCCTCTGTCAAAGTTTTTCTTTTCTAAATAACATTTTACCTTTCTAAAACTTGGCTACGCAGAAAGTTTATTTCTGGAATTTTGCCCAAAACCAAGCAGGAAACCAATGACGCCTGCCTACCCACCTATCTGTGTCTCTATCACCATACCGTTTCAGTTCTCTGTGAGTCTGATCAGTGCTTAAAGCAACATCCATTTCTTTACGCACAGCTCATCAGTCCAGGTAAGGCTCCATGGTGGTCCTTTTGCTGCTCTCACTTGGGGTCTCTCGTGCAGCTGTAGGTGTCTGACAGGGTGATGGGGGAGGACCCAAGAGGGCTTCACTCACAGGGGTGACACCTCAGCCGGAGTGCTGGGACTGCTGAGGGCTGGCTGGCCTCTTCTCTCCACATGGTCTCTACGCCGTGGCTCCAGACGGGGCAGAAAAGCAGAAGCCGCTTAAAGCACTCACACACCATCGCTTTCACCACATTCTGTTGGTCAAAGCAAATCACAAGATTTATCCAGAGGAGAAACAGATTCCATCTCTGGATGGGAGAGCAGCACGCACAAGGATGGGAGGAATTTGGGGTCCTATTTGAAAGCAAACTATCACAGTTATTTACACACATGCTATCACTCTTGTCTACACACACGCAAAGTACATACACAATACAGGGTTCAGAAAGTGACGGTTGACTATTAAAGATCCAAGTTGTGGCAGTACCTTCTGTTTCTTGGTTTACTTTCCTTCATTCCAAAATCAACCTTTTTCTCATATTCTTATTCCTCAGACCAAAGCTGCTCCCAGGCTTTCCCTCTTGGTTCACGTTTCTGTAGCAAAGTGTATAGTCGGACCCCTTGAGTTTGACTACCTGCTCCATCTTGGGCAAATTACTTGACATCTGCAAGCATCTATTTTTTCCCACCTATAAATTGGGATAATAGTGGTACCTATCTAGTAGGATTATTGTGAGGACACATGGGATGACATATGTCAAGCATGTAGCACATAATCTAGGCTTTTTATGTTAGATTTCTCTCCTCTCTCACCTTCCTCCCCTTTACCCTGGAACTTGAGACATCCCCTATGTTGCTGTGATATGACATAGTAAAAGAAATAGGCACAGGGAGGTGGATTCTTCATGGTTTTTGTTGTGAGCAGTTGATGAGCTGTTGGACCTGGGACAAGTTGCTTAGCCTCATTGTGCCTCAATTTTTTTATCTGTAAAATGGCCGTTATGTTGGTGCCTCGCTTACAGGGCTACTGGAGATAAATAAGCACAGAACCTGGCACAGAGGAAACACCTAATGATTGTTACTGTAAGAATAATATTGTGCATCAATTAATTGGTGGTGGTTATTATCTAGCCCAATGTCTCAAGTGGGAACAGGTGAAAACCTATATTGCTCCTTCCCCCAAACTATTCTAGGGGATTTCTATTCTTTTCCTATAAAATGGGCCACAGAAATTAAGTTACCCACTGTGGGGCTTTAGTAGTCACATTATTGGCCCCTTCAGACTCCCAGGTGAGACCCAAGGAGTATAATTTGCTGCAGCTTCTTTTCTGATGTTAGAAACTCACCTCAAGGGATCCTGGGAAGAAGCAGTTGTGTGACATAACAAGGGAGAGCAGTGAGTACCTACTGTTGCTCGGAGAGTAATTCTCCTCCAAGATGACCCTTGTCTGATACCCTCCCTGCCCTCAGACTTTGGTTCGAATGTCTCTTCTTCCTGTTCTGGGTCTTACTTACACCTGCCACGCAGGTGCCATGAGGTGTGTGGTTACTCCTTTTCTAAAGAAAACGGCATCTGATCTCTGCTGATAACCCATTCAGGTAGAAAGCTGGTGCCCTGGGGCTGGGGCCCGGAAAGAACCTGTGTGTGTCCAGAAGGGCCCTCCTCTTTGCCAACCGAGAGCAAACGCGTATCCAAGCATTGATGACCTCCTTTGTAAATAATGCCCCTCTGAAACTCGCCCCTTCCATGGCGTGTTTGTTTCCCAGTGGTCACAGCACTCAGGTTAAAGTCAGCTTGGTCTTTCAGGCTGCTACCTCCAGCCAATCCGGACACCAGCCTCTTCCACCTCGTGTACGTGGATGCCATCGCCATAGCCATTGTTGGGTTTTCAGTGACCATCTCGATGGCCAAGACGTTGGCAAATAAGCATGGCTACCAGGTCGATGGCAATCAGGTAATTTTGTACAGATGTTCCTTAGTGATACAATAGTCATGCTCTGCTATGAAAAGCAAGTAAACTTGATTCCTCTGCCTTGATCAAAAAAACGTGTAGTTTGATGGTGGATGTATTTAAAGCATGCATTTATTGAACATTACTTTTTTTTCGTAATTGATGTAGATCAGATCATTAGAATACTGAGGTACAGTCCTACCTCACCCCACGGGCAGAGGTCCAGCTAGAAAGGTGAAATCTCCAATCTGAGGTTTATAGTTTGCCATACTGCCATTGATGTTATCACTGTTATTTTCAATTTCAGTTGTCATTCAATAGATGTGATCACTTTTTTAAAGGTCACAGGTTGGGAATAAAAATGTTTTTTCAGAACCATTTTTACTCCTCCGGAAACCTTCTCGTTGGTCATGATTCATCACTCAATCTCCACGATATATTTTTTGACACCTTCTTTTATAATATAGCTCCAGATAAGGTATTTAATCTGAATGCCATAAGCTGTAATTTTGGCATGACAGTGTGTGTTTCAACATGCTCTGTATTTCTAAGAGGAGACGAGATAATCCACATTCATATGAAGCACAGTCATCCAACCGAGGAGCCCCGAGAGCAGAACTCGCTGCCCCAGGAAGACACTGACATGAGCTCTACATGAACAAGAGCCAGGCATTCAAAAGATCTCAGAACTACACACCTCAACCTTATATACCTTAAACAACAAGAAAGTTTTATCCCTAACCAATGGACACAGACAGTAGGGGGGCGAGGGCATGTGCTGGGGGGGGGGGGCAGGAGCGGCCAGGGAGAAGTCAATGGGGGGTGGAGGGGAGACGTGTGTAATACTTTCAACAAGAAAGAACTTAAGTTTTTTTTAAAAAAAAAAAAATATATTGTCCCTTAGAGAATATTTGGGAAAGAAGGACTGAGTGCAGCATTTACCTCCAACACTAAAAATTCGAAGTGTTTCCCACCCCAACCTTAAATTCTGTAATAATTCCTATTTTGACCTCATACTAAACCATTTCTTATATCTGAAAAGACAGTGAGGAAACAGCCTGTACCTCTGAGAATGGATATTGCATGGGCCGTCACACCTTCCTTTCTGAAGAATAACGGGTCTCTTGTGTGCTTTGTTTCCACATGGAAAAGGAGCTCATTGCACTGGGAATATGCAATTCCATTGGATCGCTCTTCCAGACTTTCTCGATTTCATGTTCCCTGTCTCGAAGCCTTGTTCAGGAGGGCACTGGAGGGAAGACACAGGTATGTATACGACTGGCTCCTCAGGACTGGTGATTTGGGTGGTGATTTAATTTTAATCCCTTGGTTCTTTTCTGAACCCAAAGCTATTCTGCCTGAAGATCCACGCTCCAGTGAGCTGTGTAGTGAATCAGAGAAAAGTATGATTGAAGCAAATCCCAAGAACTAAATCTGTAGGAAAGAAGTATACTCTCCAGTTAAATAAAAAATTATATGATACTCCTTGCCTCAGACTGAGTATGGGAAGGATGTAGAACTTTGACCAATGATGGAAATATTCAGTGTTTGTACCATCCAATATGGCACTTGTGGCTCTTGTGCACTTACAATGTGACTAATGTGGGCAAGACCTTAATTTTTACTTTAGTTTAAATTCTTTTAATCCAAATAGCTGCGCATGCCTAGTGGCCACAACATTGGATAGCAGAGTCTTATTTGACTTCTTATGGCCCTTATGGGTCTCAGATCAGCACCAGACATCTCCTTTCCCCACCCTGGCAAACAGATTTCAGTCCGAGTATTTCAGCTTCCATTGAAAGGGTGTAAGAAAAGTGGGAAAGAGCTAATAGGTTTATGTAATGGTTTGGGTGCCTTATATAAATCCATCTTTTCTTGATCATCTCCCATTGGTTATCAAAAGACTGGGACCCACCTAAGCTGGCCTCTTACTCTCTCCTAAAAGCCCCTTCCATGTGTCTTTTCTCATGCAGCTTGCAGGTTGTTTGGCCTCGTTAATGATTCTGATGGTCATATTAGCCACCGGATTCCTCTTTGAATCATTACCCCAGGTGTGTAGCTTGGACTTGGTGTGAGGTTTTCCGTGTGTACAGATTTTGCTATTTTATTTGTTTATATTTTTGCGGATGTCTCATGGGTTTTTACTGTAACCCTAGCAGGGTGGTATGAGAAAGGGCCAAGGCTAGGACCAAGATCCTGGTCCACAATCTACCAGCAGCTGGGACCTTGGGAAAGCCATCTCAACATCTCTGGGTCTCAGTTTTTATCTGCAAAGAGGGTGTTTGCACTGGCTAGTCTCCAAGGTCCCTTTCTCCTTGATCCTCTCTCACCTTATACTTCCCTTTAAAATCTGAGATGGCCTACACTCATAAGACATTTGTTTACTGATATATTTAATCTAGTAAAAATGAACAGCAATGTTAAAGGAAATCAATGTAGAAAGGCCATGGGTGAAATAACTCCTTGAGTACCAAGTTTAATTCTGAACCTCTTGACTACCATGCAGGTTTGCTGCTAGGATATAAGCCTGGTTTTCCAAGGCCCATTTTAGCTAACCAAGTCCTGAAAATCCAGGCGTTCATGGCTCCAAATGTACCATCACTGCCGCGTAGGAAGTGAGTGGGGAGAGGGTTATGGGAGGGCAGCAGGAGGACAGTGAGGAGCCGGCACACGGGGCTGTTAGGACTCACGAGGAGAGGCAAGTATGGATGTGCTGTGTTTCAGGCTGTGCTGTCGGCCATTGTGATCGTCAACCTGAAAGGAATGTTTATGCAATTCTCAGATCTCCCCTTTTTCTGGAGAACCAGCAAAATAGAGCTGGTAAGTAACAAAGGTGATTGTTAGATGGTTGATCATAGCGACACAGGGATTCGTGCTGATAAAAAATGTGAGAATTATAATTTAGTGCAGTCAGTTGTTATATGCAGTATCCAGTTAGGCAAGGTTAGGTATCGTGTGTGTGTGTGTGTGTGTGTGTGTGTGTGTGTGTGTGTAACTCTAGGAAATTGTTAACAGGATTCTCCATAAAGCTTTCTGTGTTTTGTTCAGACCATTTGGCTTACGACTTTTGTTTCCTCCTTGTTCCTGGGGTTGGACTATGGTTTGATTACTGCCGTCATCATTGCGCTAATGACTGTGATTTACAGAACACAGAGGTGAGTGCAAAGATTGGGGTGTATGTGAGTGTCCTGCCGGAGATCGTAGTGTTGTATCTGTCTACAGAATGAGCATCTTGACCGTGAAGGCAGTGTTCCTAGAGTCCAGAATCAGGCACATTGTGTGTTCTCTGAATACTTATTGAGGAAATCCACCCAGAAAGTCAGCTAATGTTTGTATTGTATATTCTAACTCACAAAGCACTTGCCTCTGCATGCTAAGAAACACCAGGACATACTATCAAGACCATGGAATGTCAGATCAAAGACTTTGGGACATATTCTGGCTCTCAAAGCTCCCTGACATCTCACCTTACCTCACTGGGCTTCCATTTATCAAACAAAACTTAAGAAAACTTCTATGCTAACTGGAAATTTTTATTTTCTCCCCACCTCTTCAGTTGACTGTCCACACCCTAGTCAGAGACTCCTAGAAACAAAAATAAAGTAGGATGACAGTTCTATATCTACTGAGTAGAATGAGAACTTGAGTCATGTATGGCATGACTTGAACTCTGAACAATTCATTTTTACCCCCATCTTTAAATACCCAAGTCTTTTGTCCTGACCAGATCGTTGGTGTGGTAGGGGTGTGGTGTAGTGTGTATTTGTATGGTATGTGTGTGTGATTGTGTTGTCTGTGTGTATGTGAAGGGTATATGTCATGTGTGAGGTATGTGTTTCTGTGTGTCTGTGTGTGTTTCTGTGTGTCTGTGTGTGTTATTTGTGTGATGTGAGATATATTTGCTGTATGTGTGCATTGTGTATGTTGGGGGTGAGGTGTAAGGTGTTTGTGGTGCGAGGAGTGTGGGGAATGTTAGGTTTGGAATGGCACTAAGAATGTGAAAGTCACCATCTAAGGATCAAGTATTCCTGAATTCACTAGCCCATCCACACATGACATTTAAATGTGCACGACTTCATGTTTCAATTATATACTGGGTCTCCACACAGTGGTATTTTAACACATTCACTCTCTCTCTTCAGTCCGAGCTACAAAGTCCTTGGACAGCTTCCTGACACTGATGTGTACATTGATATAGATGCATATGAGGAGGTAGGACCTTTTCTGTCATTTTAACTGGTTGTAAGCATGTGATGTGATGTAATGTGATTGGCTAACTGAATTTTATTTTCACCTAGGACGAAAAGTGAGGGTGAAAAGGAAGGGGGTGTACTGGTCAAAGTGAAAATCCTGATTATTGATTTACTCTCTGGATTCACTTTTATAGCTTACACTGTACATTATGCCATGCATTAATTGCTCAACCTAATATTGTATTGTGTGATATATATATATATATATATATATATATATATATATATATATATATATTTGATTTTTTACAGAGAGGGAGAGAGAGCTAGAAACATCAATGGGAGAGAAATATCAATCAACTGCCTCCTGCACACCCCCTATTGGGGATGTGCCCACAATCAAGGTACATGCCCTTGACCAGAATGGAATCTGGGACCCTTGAGTCTGCAGGCTGACACTCTATCCACTGAGCCAAACCAATTAGGGCTATATTGTCTCTTTTTAAAATGAGAATAAATATATATTGTTGGAAAACTAAGGTATATATTTACAAAATGCTGAAACTGAGAGAATGGTTTGTATGTGCATGATTTTTTTTCCTGATGATTTAAACTGATGGTAAAATATTAACTATATAAAATATAGGTTAAAATATCCTTGATTTTGAATGTTCTTTTGTGGAATCTCAAAGACTTTTATAAAATCTTTTAAAACTAGTTTTCTCTGTTTTATTTTTGCTGGAGAAGAACTTCTCAGCTTCACTGTAAAATATTAGAAAATGAGATCGTATTAGGATTACTGTTTTCTCCTCCTTCCAAAGAATTATATGCTGAATTACTTGTTTCCAAACTGCATTCTAGAGTTCAAGGTTTCTTTTTTTTTTTTTTTAAGAGATAGAAACATCAATGATGAGAGAGAATCATTGATCAGCTGCCTCCTGAATGCCCCAACAAGGGTCCAAACCCACAACCTGGGCCTGTGCCCTGACCTGAAATTGAAACGGGACCTTTTAGTCCATAGGTTGACATTCAACCACTGTACCACACCAACTTGGCTCCCTGTGTTTGTTTCTATGTATTAGGTAGACCTGCATGTCTCCTAGAACTGGTAGAGTGTCCTTGTGTAGTAGGTATCCTACAGGGTCCAGTGGCTCAGCCCACCTGAGCTGAGCACACTAGGTGTGCCCCTGTGTAGGCTGTGTACACAGTCTTGTAGTTGAGCCTTGATTGTGATCACTAGGAGGAATTAACCTCCAGGCCAATTGGCTGTGAGGACCAGATGTGACTACAGTGGAAGAGCTGTTGTTCAAAAGACACCCCTATGGAGTAAGACTCACTTCAGTGAGGTGTTAGTGTTCACTGAGTCTGTCCCTGGAGGGTGTTGCTCATGGGTGTGTAAAGTTGTAATCTGGTATGGTCTGAAGCTGTCCATTGGGTATACTGGCTCTGGGGCCTCCCAGGAGGTGTAAAGTCAACTACAACTGGGACCACCCAGCAAGAGCCACAGAGCGATCTGCAGATGGCTGCTACTTGTGTGGGGCTTGGAAGTGCCCAGGCTAGGCCAAGCTGTGAAGCAAGGCAGGCTGCTGCTAGTGCCAGGTCTTGCTGATGGCCAGCTGCTGCTTGTTTGAGAGATTATAGGTAAATCTGAAATCTGAGCCAGGAAAGACTATTCATATGAAAAATCCACTGCAAACAGCTTGGGTGGGGCTGCAAATTGGATTGGTGGGTTCTCAGAAAATCACCAGGGCAGAGCAAACAGTGTGAGAAATTCAGATATGGCTGCCAGTCACCTCTGCAACAGGGGAAGGTCTCAGCATAGGAACAATGAACCCAGCAAGCACCCCTGTCTGGGAGAAAGCCACCCCTGAGTTTTTGCTCCAATGCCAGATAATCCAGTTTCTCCAATGTTTCTGGATCCTCCCAAGCACTGGAGCTTACAGGGCTCAGGACCATGTAAGTTCATGCACTGTCCTTTAAGAGGAACTGCTGGGTCTGCAGCAGCCTCAGTGTCACTCAGTCACAGATCCTATTGCTTTTATAGCCCAAGTTACAGGGACTTCTCTTCCCAGCTCTGGAACCCTAGGCTGTGGGTCCAATGTGGGTCTGGGACCCCTGGCTTCTCACAGGAAGCCTTTTCAGCAGAGATATCTTCCCAATTAAAAAAAAAAAAAAAAAGCCATACATAGTGTCGGACCAGCCCACTTGTCGCCTCTGCCCCTCCTACTAGTCTCTATATACTTTCTTTATTCTCTAGTTGTAAGACTTCCGTTTAGCCAGATTTCACGCAGTTCTGAATGATAATTCTGTATTTTAGTTGTAATTTTGACTTGGTCGTGGAGGCAATGAGTACTGGCATTTACCTATACCGTCAATCCTGGTTCTCTGATCAAATATGCATTTTTAAAGGCTTTCTTTTCAGACTCCTTCCTCCAGAGCATGATTATGGAAACATTATTTTATCTAAACACTATTAAGAGGGTCCTTAGCAACCTCTGTATGAATTTTTAGGTTAGAAGAGGGAGGCTATTGCAGTTTTGATTCTGAAATATTTCCATGTTTTAAATTCACTAATATTGTATTTCTCAGGTGAAAGAAATTCCTGGAATTAAAATATTCCAAATAAATGCCCCAATTTATTATGCAAATAGTGACTTGTATAGCAGTGCATTAAAAAGAAAGGTGAGTCATAAAAAATTTTTACAGTTTCTCTCTGCATTTTTGTATATGTGTGTGTGTGTGTGTGTATCCTTTTTAAATGTATGTGTACATTTTTGTTTATATGTGAGTGAGTATATATATATATACTTTTCTTTAAATTTTTTAAAAGGTTATATATGTGTAAAACTTTTAAAGAAAAGGTGAAAAAATTATTTTAGATTTTTTGCTCTTGGGATCATAAGGGTTCCTTTGGTCATGATTAGAACTTGACCTTACACTGTCCAGTTTATAGGAAATCCTCACAATCAACCAAAGTCTCTTAAATATAAGAACCTGAGAAATCCAAGTTTGAATTTACTTTAAATACTGTTTATTACCTTAGCTTCTGGTTGGCTTGAATCAAGACCAAGAATAACAAAACGTAGTAAAATTCTTGTAATGAGGGAATAACTCAGTTCAGGGATCTGAGGGGAAAGTAGAGAAAGGTTTGGGATGGTAATTTCACATAGAAAACCATCAAATCGGGACACTTAAAGATTAATTGTATTTGGGTGGGTTCCTGAAGTGATTTTTGCAAATAATGCTCTTCTGTAAAGACGGGAGTGGACCCAGCGTTTATTTTGGGAGCGAGAAGAAAGGCCATGAAGAAGTATGCCAAAGAAGTCGGGAATGCAAACCTGGCCAACGCCACCATGATCAAGGCGGTGAGTGGTCTCTTCAGTGTAATTTTCCCTTCTCCCTTGATTCATAGTGGCCCCCACCTTTATTCATGATTGAAATTTGAACACAGCACAAAGTCCCTAAAATATGAAAGCTTAGACATAATTAATGATCCTTTATGTATTAAAAATGCATGATAAATAATAAAAATGCATGATAAGGTCAGTTATGAGAATGCTTCTGAAATAAGTAGTGATATAGGCTCAGGAAAACATTGTTTGTTATTTCATTAATCCTCATCTGAGGATATTTTTCCTTTAAGAGAGTGAAAGGGAGGGAGAGAAACACACAGAGAGAAACATTGATGTGAGAAACATTTATTGGTTGCCTCCCACATGCCCCTAACTGGGGCCAGGATTAAGTCTGAAACCGAAGTACCTGCCCTTGACTGTAGTTGAACCCAGGACCCTTCAGTCTACAGGTCAATGCTGTATTCACTAAGCAAAAGCGACTAGGGCGGAAAATATTGTTTTAAAAAGTAAACATCATACAGAACCTTAATAAATTTTATCAGCCGAAACCGGTTTGGCTCAGTGGTAGAGCTTCGGTCTGCAGACTGAAAGGTCCCGGGTTCAATTCCGGTCAAGGGCATGTACGTTGGCTGCGGGCACATCCCCTACTGGGGATGTGCAGGAGGCGGCTTGTTGATGTTTCTCTCTCATCGACGTTTCTGGCTCTCTGTCTCTCTCCCTTCCTCTCTGTAAAAAAAATCAATAAAATATATTAAAAAAATAAAATAAAAAATAAATAAATTAATAAATTTTATCATTAGTACTCAGCCATAGATTCATTCAGCTTATAGTCAAAAAGCTCAAAGGCTGGTTTTTATTGTCCAGGCTTATGGTAACTTATGGTCTATTATGATGAAGTTAATAGAATTATTTTAGAAGTTAGGAGAAAATGGACTAAGGAGAGGGGATTTCATGGGGGGTGGGGGGAAGGAAAATAAACTGAGCTAAAATCAAATACTATGCACACATATTTTTTTTGGTCACATTACAAGGCTGGGATTTGGCAAATATTTTAGAGAAGATCTGGTATAGTCCTTGAGACTCTAAGGACTAATATTTCCTTATAATTCTCAGGACCAAAATACATAGCATTCTGATGTGATTTAATTTTTGACACAGGATGGAGAAGTAGCTGGAGAAGATGCTACGAAGCCTGAGGAAGAGGATGATGAACCAAAATTTCCCCCTGTAGTCATCAAGACCACCATTCCTGAAGAACTGCAAAGATTCATGCCCCCAAGTGAAAATGTCCACACTGTCATTCTGGATTTCACACAAGTCAATTTTATCGATTCTGTGGGCGTAAAAACTCTGTCAGGGGTAAGCATCATCATGAACAAGTCATTTAATCTCTCTGTGCCCAGTTTTGCCATCAGTAAAAATCAGACAGTTAAACTTAGAGTCCCTTTTCAACTCTTAAACATCTTTTGTTGTGTGCTTTTTCAACTTTTGATTATGGAAAATTTCAAAAATAAAGAGCATAGTGTAATGACCCCCCCACACACACACATAAGTATCACTCAGCTTCAACAATTATCAACTTACAGTTAATCTTGTTTCACTGGTCCCCCACACCCACTTTCCCCTTCTCTTATTTTGCCTGTGAATATTTCAGTATACTGTATATCTCTACAAGAAGATTTTTTTTAAAGTCATTACCATTATGCCTTTATTAGACCTAAATAAAATTTAGCAAGAATTCTTTGGTATCCCTAATTATCACATTGTACATATAAAAATCAAAAGAAATATATAAGTTTTTAAAGGATTAGCTCAAAAATGCATAATTATTGAAGCAAAGTAGTTCAAGTGAATGTAGTAGAGTGTCTTACATTGGTGAAATACATATTGGTAAAAAAGAGACTTACATTTGGCACAGTCAAGAGAAACTAAACTTTATTTCAACATTATTACAGATTGTAAAAGAATATGGAGATGCCGGTATTTATGTGTATTTAGCCGGATGCAGTGGTAAGTACACTTCTAGAATGAGGAGAAATATTACCATTTTGATTTTTTTCCCCCCTCTTTTTTTCAGTAATTGCGTTGGGGAATATTTTCCCCTAATTTTAGTTTTTAGTGAAAATGAAAATTATTCTTCTGAAAATCACCTAAAGCTAGCTTTGAAATTAGTCCCTTACAGGCACTGCTGTGGCAGCCTCCTGAGCTGCAGTTGGTGGAGAGGAGCTAATAAACCATTGCGTTGGGCTGGTATATTTTTTAGTAATTATTTAATGGCTACTATAAACTTACTTATATAAAATCATGTAGGTTTTTCCATACAATGCCTGCTTTCTTGTTCTACGTTAAATTTTGGTTAAGACACTGCTTGAAAACGAGCTCTCCATAATAGCAAAAATGAAAACTGCTTGGCAATGTGCCCTGCAGGCAAACTGTGGAAGAGCAGGCCCTCTCAGACCTTGCTGGTGTGAGTGCAAAATGGAACAGCCTCTTTGGAGGCACTCAAAACAAATAAACACATTTGCCTTTTAACCCAGCAAATCCAGCACTGTGCTACACACGCTCAGTGAGAAACACTTACATGGTTAGTCGTCACAGTACTGTCTGTAAAAACAATAGAGGGGATAAGCTCAATTGTCAAACAAAAGGGACCAAGTGAAACAACTACACTACATCGATGAGATTGAATACCATGTAATCATAAGTATTGAGATTAAATTTTTTAAAAATATTTAAGATAATATATAGTATGCTTTCTTTTTGGGTGAGAAAAGGGGGAAATAAGAATAAATGTTTATATATTTACTTATATTTGCATAAAGAAATACTGGAAAATGCTTTAGAAATTAATGAAAGTAGCCACCTGCAACTGGGGGTGTGATGTCATGGGGACAGGATCTGGAGTGAGACTTATTATATATCATCTTAATATTTGAACTAGATGGAAGTGAGGTTTGTGGAGGGTTTTTTTATGTTCAAGATTGATGCCCAGAGTGTGCACTAATTTTCTTTTCTTCTTTTCTAGTACAAGTTGTAAATGACCTCACTTCAAACTACTTTTTTGAAAATCCAGCCTTAAAGGAGCTGCTGTTCCACAGCATTCATGATGCGGTCTTAGGGAGCCAGCTTCGAGAGGCGCTCGCTGAACAAGAAGCTTTGACTCCTCCGCCCCAGGAGGACGCAGAGCCCAACGCCACTCCGGCTGAGGAATGAGGAACTCAGCCTGGGATAGGGTATAAGCCTCTTCCAAAACTACTAATTTACACATTTTTAATACTAGACACGAGATTTTTTTTTTTTCTAATAGTAAATACGAGTAGTCAAGGCTTGATTTGGAGGGTGAATGACGCATAGCAAGATGTATCTTACTTGTGTGGTTTTCTTCTAATTGGCTACTTCCAAGATAAATTGGCCTCTTAACCTGAACTTATTGTGCAGTGACATTTCTGCTAATTTTTACTATTATCTTTGTCAGCTAAGCACTTAAGAATTTTTCTCTTTAAGCACTTTACTTACAAATCAGTTAGGCTGTCACCAGATAGTGTGTTCCTTGCTTTTGTACTTGCTGCCCTACAGACTTTCTGTAATGAGTTATTGTACAGAGGTGGCATACCCACCATTTCCTAGTTTTTCTTTTGAAATAAGCTTTTATTTTTACAGATGCAATATAGTGCATTACAGAAAATCAGAAAAGGAAAAAATAAAATATGATACTGCCACCACTGCTAACAACTTAATGCATATCCTTCCATATCTTTATGAATACATTTATCTTTTAACCAAAATAAGATCATAGGCCATGTAGTGTTCTGTCACCTATTTTCTTCCACAATTTCCATTTTCTCATTCCAGAATATTTTTACCATATTCAAATTTACCCCACTTGTCCCCAAATTTGTAGTTGATTTGTCCAAACTAGTATCCATTCTATGACCTTCCCCTATAACGTCATATCCCTTTTTTAAGTCCTTTAAGTCTATCTAGCACAGTCTCTTTTTTTATGACATTGATTCATTAGAGATTGGATCAGTTATCCTGCAGAATTCCATATTACTAACGTGTCTACTTGCTTTCCTAAGGTGTTATTTAGCTTGTCCTTTTATATCCTGAACTACCTGTGATCTAAAAGTTGTATCTAGAGGCCTAATGGATTTGAAAAAAAAAAAATGTTTTTTTTTTTTGCTAGAATATATCATAGATGAGACACATGCTTTCATTGTATCATATCAGAAAACACATCATATCTAGTTGACCCTACGATTACATGCTAAGATAAACCTACTAACAGTGTGATCTCAATTATGTTTTCATCTTTGTAACTAGTAAGTTATCAACATGGTGTTCCTTTGGCATCTAACGAATTCCCAGTTCCCCATGAGCCATTCACCCAGGGTTTTTAACATCTGGTGATAATACTTGTCTAAATCAGTAAATGTTAAGGTTTGTGAATTTTCCCCCAATTTTTTTATTCCTTCAGCATTTATTAGTTGGTATTTCTGTGTAAATGATAGATTTTCTTCAACTTGAGCTATTTAGTCATCCTTAAACACAGTTCTTACTAGAAAGGCAGGTTTATTTTCCCCATTTACTTATCAACTTCAAAGAAGTTGGTTTAATAAATAGAAGTAACAAGTTAGGTTTCATTATAAATATAGACTGGAGAATTCTTAATGTGTTTCAGTCTGTGATAGTTGTTCTTTTGGTGCTAAAATGGTAGCAATTGTGACCAGTAGGAGCCCCTAGAAATGTTTCTAATAATGAAGTAGTCTTAAAGACCATGTATTTAACAAAACTAATGCCTTCGTATAACTTACTGTTTTCCTTAGAAGTCCAGAAGAGTTATCCGTTAATTCATCAGACTCAGTCTTAAGCCTATGAGTGAGCAAAATGCTTATTTCAAGCACTCTTTAAAATTGTTCCAAAGGAGTGGGAGAGACTATTAAGGTAACTTGTCATCAAAAGTTATTGGTATAGTTGTAACAAATCACTGATTCGAAGCACAAATATTAGCTAACCTGCTAAAGCCTCCTATGCTAAGATTTCCTGCTAATAGTTTGTCTTATATGTTTTTCTTCTTTAAAAAGTTTCCTTATTGACTCATCTTAACTTTCGTGAAAAAGCACGCAGGAGAAAAGTGGTCAGATGCCAGAACTATGTGAGCATGGGTCTACTCAAAAACAAACTCTGTGGTTTGCTTGCTTTAACTTCCATGAGGCTTCTCAATAACTTACTAATTTAATTGAAAGTAGACCCCTCCCTTTTAATCAACTATTTCCCTAGATCTAAAGTAAAATTATATTTACATTCAGTTATTTCCTTGGCAATCATCACACACAAGATCCGATACATCTGCATTCTGATACAGACTGCCTTCTGAAAAAGCATGTAGTTGTAGAACCTCACCTTATACTAGAAACTTTTGTACAAGGGCCTGCATCATTTCGGCCATTCAAGTAGAACTTAAGAATTGTAAGCAATATTATAAAATAGTCCATTGCATATTCTTTAGCACCAGCCTTCAACAAACACTTTACACATAATAGTGACTCAAGTCTTAGTTGATAGGTTGAACGTGTACAAAAAGGTGTTTGTATCTTACAAACTTAGGTATTTTTTCTGTCCTTTAATGTTTAACCTATTTTAAATAGAATTCTACCATGTACATAAAAAGCACTTGTCTTACTGAAGGAAAATTTTTTCAGTATGTCTCTGAGAATCTAATGCATTTCAAAATCTATTTTATCTATATGTAAATATTTTGGAATCGTTCACTTAGAATTATTTCATATAGTGGAAAATTTCTTAACCCTTTTTTATTTAGTCCCGTTTTGTCTCTACCTTCTTTCTGGATTTTAATAGCTGCTAGTTTGTCTTTCTGTTTTTCAGCCCTGGTTCAAATTCAGATTCTTACTGCCTTGTCAAAATGGGCATAATGTACAGCGATATGGGGACTAGTCTTTCTTATGGTAGTAAAGCTATTTTCAGGAAGGTCCCATATAGAGAAATGCTTTGTCTTTCTCAAATCCTACGTAATACGACTGTCAGTGGTTGATCTCTACCTCATGGATGGATGGAATGTTTGAAAATATTGTGAACCAGGACTCAGAAAGCTAGTCATGTCATAGACATTGTGTACTCATATGGCAGCTGATGGTGGGATCCCAATTGCCAATCTCATGTGCAGTGGGACTCAAAGAAACAGTGGATATGAATCCTCTGCAAGCCCTAGAATAGCTCCTTTGTAGTTTTCAGGTAACATCTAAAATATCCACTCCATGTGGTTTGATCCTGTATCCTTACCTGTTTAACAAAGAAAGGAGGTGCTTGCCTCCAAAGGTACATTTTGAGAAAATGAGTCTGCCCTCGTGTGTGCATGGAGGGCCAGCATCCCAGATAATTTGCCCTGGAGTGGGTAGGTGTGGGGTTTTGTTTTAGGGAGTAGGGGGGGGGGGGGGGTGTGCCCTTGTGTGGGGATGGGGAGGGAATGTTATGTAGTAGGAAGGCTTTATTTCCTATGTCTGCCCCTTTAAAGATAGTCAATTTAAATTCTAAGATCCAATAATACTTACTTGGTGTGAGCCTGTATGTTTTAGTGCAAAAGTGCTGTTGGTCCTTTTTAGTGTACCTTTCAGGAATGCTTTTAGGATTCAGTGTGTTTAGATTCTTGATAATATGGTTTGAGTGCTGATACAAGTTGATATGAGAACTGATAAAGTATTATCTAATTCTCCAAACATAACCAAAATGCATGCAATGGTTTTGAAGCCCCTCAAATCCCAACAAAATGTTCAAGTTAGCTGCCTGCTTACTGACTTGGATATAACCAAGTTTGAGCATTTCACAAATCCATCTTGCCTTTGAAAAGGCTTACCCACTTTTTCATTATACTGTGGTATACAGCATTTACTTTATGTAACAGATGAATCTGACCCTTGTGAAAATTTTTATAAATATCACATTTTTAAGTATTACTCCAGTATTATTTTTCTAGTCATAAACCCTTTGTATTCTGATTTATCTATCAGCACCCTGACATGTATAAACATACACCTGATCTCTACACTTGCACATTTTAGGTGGAGAAAATTACTGGCGAATGTGTATTTTATGTTTTTAAATATGGTATACGCATGCTAATCTAGATAATATTGATACTATCTGCATATACATGCCTCGGTAGAAACACCCACATTCTTCAAATAATTATTGTACATTTGATGTGTGTCCAGGTAATTTTTGTCCTGTAACTGAGATGTCAAGATTCAGAGCTTATAACACGTTGGGCCTGAGTGAGGGCAGCATCTCCAATTTGAGTTGTCTCAAATTGATGCATGTGTGTGGCTATATGAAGAAGTGGTAAGACTTCAAAGAGCGTATTCTAAATGCTTACATTTATCAAACGTTAGAGCAAACTACTTCTAGGTTCTGCTTATATTTTATACCATATGAAAGACCAGGGCAGGCTTAGGGGGAAATTTGATAAATTTCACAAAAATGAAAAATCAAAAAAGGATGTGGTTGGATTTTATGAATAAAGGGCTCTTTCTGTTTGAAAACTTTCCATGTTTTAAATATTTCAATGTAATACTTACAGCATTTTCTATGTTGTCAACTTTTTCTTTTGTGAATTAAACTGTATCCACCTCTATTTTACATTACTTATGAATATTGAACTACAATAAAAACGTTTATTGTGCTTGAGTCTCGGAATTTGGGAACTGTGGAAGAATTTGGTGGTGTTTGCATAAGAAATAATTTTAAAGAAGTCTGTTGAAAATTTCAATGCAACTTATATTTAAATCAGAAGTCTAACAGGAACTTTATCAAAATTTAAACCAATAATTTATAAAATGCAGATGGGAGGATGTAATAACACATGTACAGCACCCAGACAATATGTGCCTAAGATGTATATGCTCTAAGCAAGCACTTTATGCTATGAAACCCTTAAATGTTAGTGGATTAAGAAATAACATACATTGTAATCACCTTTTATTATTCCACAAAGAGAAAAAAGTTTTTAAACCATTTATTTTTTGTGTGAAATGGTTATTAACAAGTCTATATAAGCTTAGGATTCGAATTAAAAGAAGTGTTTTCATGAGCGCTTCAGGACTCAGTTGTATGTCATGTAGCGGGGAGTAGCACTGAATTTGGCATAGGATTTAATGACCTTATTTACAGCTTCCAAGAAATCCTTCTCAGTAGCTATTTTTCGCCGGGCTCTGATGGCAAACATACCAGCTTCTGTGCAGACACTTCTAATCTCAGCACCTTTCAAACAAAAAGAAAATAATAGGCTTAATTAAAATAGCCTAGACAGACAGACCAGCAAATATAAACAAGACTTTTCAACCTACCAGTGCTATTTGGGCACAGTCGTGCTAACAATTCAAATCTGATATCTCTTTCAACACTCATTGAACGTGCATGGATTTTAAAAATGTGAGTCCGGCCCTAAAAACAGGAGAATTGAAAAATATTACAATGGAAAACATCAAAGGAAGAAATATTTCAAAAATCTCTTTTCTCAGAAATGGTTTTCTGACCTCTAGATCAGGTAAGCTAAATTCAATCTTCCTGTCCAGTCTCCCTGGCCTCATCAGTGCTGGATCCAAAGTGTCAGGTCTGTTGGTGGCCATCAGTACTTTAATGTTGCCGCGAGGATCAAAACCATCCAGCTGGTTGATCAATTCCAACATCGTTCTCTGTACTTCATTGTCACCTCCAGCACCATCATCAAAACGAGCCCCTAAGACAAAAGGAAAGACTTATCCGGTCACAGGAGCACTAGCAAAACTTGAAAGTACTGTTAATCTCAGCTCAAATCATGCCCTCCAGTGCAAGTGAATATCCAACTTTCCAACTTTAAGCAAATCCTACAAGAACTGCCTGCTTTTCACAAAACTAATTAGAGAGTGAATCTTTCAAAAGGCTCGTCATAGATTTAACATAGGCTTCATTAAAGTATTTTTTTGCCCTCTCCGGTTTTGCTCAGTGGATAGAACGTCGGCCTGCGGACTGAAGGGTCCCGGGTTTGATTCCAGTAGAGGGCACATGCCCAGGATGCAGGCCTAATCCCCAGTAGGGGGCATGCAGGAGGCAGCTAATCAATTGATTCATCATTAATGTTTCTATTTCTATCCCTTCCTCTCTGAAATCAATAAAAATATATTTTAAAAAATAAGTATTTTTTAAATCCTTTTCAAGGAACTCTTTTGTTTTTCAAACTGAGTGGAATTTATTTTCTTGTTCCAAACTGAAGGGATCCCTCTCCCTGCTCCCCCAAATGAGAGGATCCCATCCACTTCATTCCTCAAACTAAAGGAGGCAGGACCATCTCATCCCTAAACTGAGGGAGACCAGGCTAGCCGCTATCTCAAGGTTCTTAAATCACTCAAAACTCCAGTTGTTTAACAATGTACACCAAGACTAGGCAGCAGAATACATGAAACTTCCACCTACAATGTAAGAAACTGCCCCACTCTCAAATTTCTTAAAACTCTTCTTAAAAATATGGCTATAGCCATAATACAGTAGAAATATAACCTACACCAGTGGTTGGCAAATCATGGTTCATAAGCCACATGCAGCTCTTTGGCCCCTTGAGTGTGGCTCTTCCACAAAATACCACGAACCCTAATTAAGTTAATAAATATGTACCTACCTATATAGTTTAAAAAATGTGGCTCTCAAAAGAAATTTCAATTGTTGTACTGTTAATATTTGGCTCTGTTGACTAATGAGTTTGCCGACCACTGACCTACACTATCATCCTATTTTGGATACATTAGTGTACTCTCAGATAAATGTCTGTCTCATTTCAACCAAAATAGCAAAAACAAAACCAAACAAAAAATAAGCCTCCAAGTATATATTTTCATTTTAAAATTATAGATACATACTGTTGTATTAGCATATAATGGACATTATAACACAAAATATTAAAAAATAAAGATTAAAATAAGGAAAAATTGGAAATATTTTCTTCCTGCACCCTAATCCTGTTTTATACACAACCCACCTTGGAAAGCATAACTTCAGAATCCTGACATCATAAGGCTTATGGCTTATTCCAATGACACTATAAAAATTACTTCAAAGTCACCAACTGCAGCAATATACTGGGTTCAAGTTAACCACTTGAGGACATTAGCTACAGCCTGTTCCAACTCCACAACGTCCATCCAGTATAAAAGCAATACTCTAGGTTACCTAACCACAGTCCCCTAACAGTGTTACAAGGTCCACTATATTTTCAAGTCATTTTCATCACTAAGTTCCTTAAATAAAAAATGTCTGGACATATGACACTTCTCCTTAGTTATGATTATTCCTCTTATAGACTAACAACAGTCAAGGCCTATAGAAGTTTTGTTTTCAAAATCTATCACACTATTTTACAGCTTTCAAAAACCATGAAATAAGCAGGGCAGGAATTATCATGCCCGTTATAAGATTAGCAAACTTAGGCGCAAGAGTTAGTTAAAACAACTGGTCTAGATCGCACAGCTAATAGTATCGGGTCTAGTAATACTTAATGTCGTTTTTAAACATTCGTTTAAAATCTTGCTTGGCGTTGACTTGTATTGACATAACCTTCAAACACGTGGTATCTACAGAACGTGTGAAGTGCAATTAACAAGTTTTGCTTGAAAAAGTTTGTGTTTGGTTTGGTTTTTGTTGCAAAACTAGGGCTAAGAAGATGGCGGATGAAGAGCATATTCGGCACTGCATGCTTTACGAGTTCCAATTAGGAAGAAAAGCAAGTGAGGCTGCAAAAAACATCTGTAGTGTTCTTGGTCAAGATGCAGTTAGCGCCAGAAAACGCCAGCGTTGGTTTGAGAAATTTTGCGAGGGAAATTTTTCGTTAGATGACAAAAGTGGTCGAGGCCGTGTGTCCAATTTTGATCAAGAAGCTCTTCAAGCTCTTTTGGTGCAAAATCCTCAAATTACCCAACAAGAACTTGCGACAACTTTAAATTGTTCACAAAAAACAATTTCCAATCAATTGCGTGCACTTGGCAAAGTCCAAAAGTTTGGAAAATGGGTTCCTCATGAGTTGACCGACAACAACCGTAATCAAAGAGTCACAATTTGCAGTTCGCTCCTCTCTCGTCAAAACCGTTTGCTGTTTTTAGAGCAAATTGTTACCGGAGATGAAGAATGGGTGCTGTATGTTAATTTGAAAAGGCGGCCTCAATAGTTGGACAAAAATGAGGCTCCGCAGCCCACGCCAAAACCTGACTTGCATGCGAAAAAAGTGATGCTGTGTGTTTGGTGGAATTTTAAAGGAATTCTTCATTATGAACTTTTACCATCTACCCAAACCATTACAAGTGCAGTGTATAGTGCCCAATTGGAAAGGTTAGCCCAAGCTTTAAGAGAAAAAGAACCCGCGCTGATTAATTGGAAGGGCGTAATTCTTCACCACGATAACGCACGACCGCATACTGCAAGAATCACTGCTGAAAAACTGCACCAGTTGGAATGGGAAGTTCTCCCTCAACCTGCATATTCTCCTGATATTGCCCCTTCCGATTACCATTTGTTTCGTTCTTTGCAAAACTTTCTTCTTGGAAAAAAATTTAATAATGAAGAATGCCTCAAAAATGCATTGACCGAATTTTTTGCATCAAAATCACAAGAATTTTACAACAGAGGGATAAAAATGCTTCCTGAGCGTTGGGCACAAGTAGTAGAAAACAACGGCAACTAAATTGTTGATTAAATTTTGTTGTATTGTTTAAATAAATTTGATTTAAAAAAGTATTAGAAAACGACATTAATTATTACTAGACCTAATATATGTCATCAGATCTATGAAGCCAACAGTAGCAATATTTACATACACTTTATGAAACACCATCAACAATTAAATTATGCCCCAGTGCTTTCTTATCACATTAAGTGAAGTTGTATCCCAAGTTAGGAATCGTTCAAGTGTGAAAATGTGTCACATGAATGAAAT